AGTGACGAAAAATAATCAACATGGGGATTACTATTAATTGATTTTTTTCTTATGATAAAGATTTAATCACTCATAATATAAGATTGCTGATCTTATCAATACTACCTTTAACTAGCTGCAGAGTAATATTGCATACAAAAGAACTATATATACTTCATTAGAAATTAGCGATGGTCAAGATCAAGAAGTGTTAATATAATGCTTACCTAGTTGCTGAGTAGTTCTTGCAGTTGTCGTTGTAGTTGGCATCGAAGTTGTTGTTGAAGTATTCGCCGCTATTGATTATTATAGAAACATTTATGTAAACAAAGCAGAAAGACGTCCTCAAACGGTTTTCTAATCGAAGTTTTTCTTTCAAAACTGATTTTTGATGGAAAACGTCTGTGTTTATCAAAGATCAAAAACCCAGTAAAATTTTCGACAATTCTATTCGATTTGACGCGGTTGAATCAAATTAAACCGAATCGCATTGAGTGGAATCAGATCCATCGACACTGTTCTGCTCAAATTCATCGCTTCTGTTACGTTTTAAATACGGGTAAAAGGTTTAAATGTACTGACTGTCGTTGCAATACAAGACCACTATTCGAAGTATGAAGTTTGTGATTTCAACCTGTCACATAAATTGCCCACATGCCAGTGTTTTCGTCGTCTTAGACCATTAGAATACTCTGTCGTCATATCAGTAGTGTGAGTGAAATGGCTTCACAGAGATATTCGAAAGAACCGAAGAATACTGTACACATAAATTGTTAAAAACTTTCTTTCTTGTCCCTCTTGTCATCAGACAGTTTGAATATTGACATTCTTCTCTTAAGAAAGAAATCTCAAATGTTTGATACAAGCAGACATAGCCTCCAAAATAATTACACATACCAAGAGCATCCTCAACATGCATTCTGTGCTTATTAGTATTTTTCTAAGGCGGCTGAGTCAGCGGTGCTACAAGCTGTGAAATATAATATACATACACAGTTGCATTACTGATCATTAGTGACATATTCATTCAATTCAATGACTAAAGTACTCTTGAGCTCTAGCGTTTACTTCGTCATAGCTAAATGATCAGTCTTCAATTTCGCAAGGTTAGCCATTAGAAACATGACAGAGAGAATCATGAATGCGTTTTCTTTCGAACTAGATGTTAATTGCAGTTGTCTTGAAAAAAGACTGCCGAGTAAACTCAATATTCACTAGGCTCAGTCGAGTATACAACAAAAACTGTTAATAAAGAGAAATGTGACACAATAGAATTGAAGTGCTCTTCTAGAGATTCTAACAGATGACACTTTCTACAGAATCGAATCGAATGAACAATTGTTCAATTTGTTTCGGTTTCTGATGTACATTCAAAAACTCACTACGTCTTCATGCATCCTAAATATAACTAAAACAGATTCTGTATTTCAAATTAACAGATATAGTCCATGAGAAGAGGTGAAATCTTTTTTTCCAATGATTACAATTCATTTTGTCTCTGCCATGCTTTATCTACTTTTTCAAATGTTCTTCGACTCTTCCTCACTGCTCCTACGTTAACATGAACTGGATATGTGAGAATGTGTGAATGATGAAGAAGCAACTTTAAGAAAGATTCGGCTTTCACTCGAGTCTGTAGATCACTGTTTGTTTTCTTACTTGCCATCGGTGGACAGAGTTGTTCATTGAAACTGGACACCGGATAACAAACAGAAAAATTATGACATCGAGGATGATGAACACATCTATGGCTAGGTTCACGACAGAGATTGTTTGAGTTGTCACATGCAACTAGCTCAGAACAATCCACAAATTCATCGGTACAAATGCCAGTGTCAATATCACGTGCTAGATGGAAACAGGCACACGCACTATTTAACGAACACCGATCATATTGAGCAATCCCAGGGCAGAATTGAGATTTCACTCGAACTAGCGACATACTAAATTAATAGGAGGACATGTAAAAAGAAAACAAGAATCAAACCTGTAAAGCTTAAAAGGAAAATTGTTCAATATTAGATGAATAGGAAAAAAATATATTTTACTATTACCTGAATAGAATGAATACGAAACAACGAATTATTGTTGAAACCATCGCTTGCCTTAAAATGAGACAGAATAGTGACGGCACCCGTCTTTATATACCATGAAGAGATAATGTTTTTTGTATTCACCGAAAGTGAAGAATCGCACCACCTGTTCTTCCGATAAATAGAAATTTGATATTGCCCCATTGCTTTCTCTAGGCACTTAACTTTTCTCCAACAAAATAATCTTTATAGAAAAAAAAGCGTCGTAAAAGCAATATAGGATTGCTTCTGCGATATAAGCATCTAATACGCTCGTCCTATCATTCGAAACATGAATATTGTTATTGTCAATCATCGACTTACTATGTAATGACAGCCTAGAACAATTTCAATGACAAATTTTGTTTTTAATATTTGTACTTTTATTATAGGCAGCTTACAAAACTTTGCATCTTCATCAAATCAAAGTCACAATCTATAGGTAGCCACATGCATTTGTACTTTGGACTTTGTCGTCGTTGACGGTTTGGATGCGTGTGCGGACGTGGGATATGGGTGTGGGCATCGGTTGTGAATGTCAGTGTGAGTGTGGCTGAACGCACCACTAACAATCACATCCACACCCCATACCTTACACTCACACCCCACACCCCATACCTCACACCCACACCTACACCCTTCATGACACTGTCTTAGAATATTGGCAGACTTCTGAAGCTTTTTACTTTTCCTCTCACCGATGCCAGAGAGAGCAAAAACTATTCCCGTCACACAGAGATATGAGTCACTACCATCAATTTTTTCTCCGGCGTCTAACACATGAGGGTGTGGGTGTGGATAAATGTAAGTGTGGGTGCAGGATGGGTATGGGATATGGCTGTGGGCGTGGATGACGTGGGCGAGGGCGAGGCTAGGGTATGGCTGTGAGGTGTTGGTGTGTATTCATAGAAAATCTACATTCACACCCATACCAAGATCTACAAAACCACATCCACACTCAAATCCCCACCTCATGCACACCCCCACATACACTTACACACGCACACCCACATCCACACCCTAAAACCACTCCATAACGCGACTCAATTACGCTGAGCTGAGAAAAGCAGTCCACTATTACCTCTTAAAGAAAAACTCAATTACACAACTATTTACGTTATCCTTAAACCAGTATTTCGTATCATATTCAACTCCACTTTATGGATGACGTATGAATGGTGTCCTTATCACAGTTTTGCGCTCTGTGTTTAAAAGCTCTTAAAAACATATGGCGACTAACGCTCGATATCTATCTCTTGAACAGTTAGCGCTATCCGACACTCGCCCATGGGATAACTCTTGAAGGGCAACCAAAACTACCACAAGACGGCGCTTGAAAAGTTAACGATACCAAAAATCGATAGTCCTTGGCGGCTTATGGGTACTGCTCATGAATCGGGCTAGAAGCTGTATAGGTAGCTCCACAGGAAAGTACTTCAGAATTAATGGGTACCCCCGTAGGATAGCCCTAGAGGACTTATGTCACGTCCATGGCATAACGCTCAAGGTCTTATGAGTACTCAATTGGATAGGCTATGATGACTTACGAGTACCCTCATAGGATGAGCCTTGAGAACCTTTGAGCACACCTCTCAGGTAGCCTTAGGCAGCTATGAGATAGCTCATATGAAAAGAACTGATGATCCGCTCCAGCTTCCATGGGCTGGAGCTGTCACACACCCAGTGGAGACTTGAAGATATCGTACGCATCTTCGAAAAAGAAATACAACTCTAGGAAGTACACCGATCAGGGATTCGAAGTACGATGAGAATCCCAAAAATTCTGGGAATCCTGACAATTCACTGAGGATTCAGAGAACTCCGAGAGTACGGAATTCGCCGTTTCTCCTTGCTCCTAATTTGAGATGACACAAGGGGGAAAAGCTGGATCTTAGAACTTCGGATCCTCATGGATCCTAGGATGGATTCATTGATCTGTATCGAAGTTCATTAGAATTTACCAGAATTGGTCAAAATCCACCAAAGTCTATTAAGATTCAGTAAGGGGCACCTGAACCTACTATGATCCTAAATCAAGAAAGCAAACGCGGATCCTACCTTCTTTATATATAATGTCCGATGTTTGTCTGTTACCGGATCAAAGATCAGGCCCAACAATAAAAAGCCAGATTTAACTGATGTTTAATCGTTTCGTTAAGGGAAAGTCTTTCTTGGTAGAATAACTACTTTCTATAAAGTTTGATTAAAGGTTGCCGGAGTCTAGGAATTCGAATCTATAGAGGGTTTGCCAAAAAAAAACCATAAATCCTGAGAAACTACCGATAGATTCAATTTTCTTGACCCTGAAAATCTTTGATCAAGGTTCATAAGAAATCATTATTTCCGAACAACAGACTTCTCCGAACAAAAAATCGACCTCACAAACTTACCCTCACTGTTACTAGGTAACATAATGGTAACTCCGCTTAATCCTGGTGGATCCTGCAGCTCCTAGGATCCACCAGGGTTCGCTTTTTATTCTTTGGAACGATAAATCTTCAAAATATTGGTCTCAATTGAGTCACGCACGTTTCTAATAAAAACAGTGATAGTACTACACTAGTACAGTGTTGATAATAACTTTCAAAACACCTTTTTGAAAATATAATCGCAATAGTGACAACTTTTTTTCTCTCGTCAAAGCACATTTTCCAGCCGCAATGTGTATCTCGGTCATGTATTCTTCGTCCTTACATCATAATAATGGTTTCTCAACCTATTAAACCAGTATACTGCTCTTATATTAATTCAAAAGCACTACTTTTATTTTATTTTATTTTTTTGAATTTCATTGGTGTGCTTATTTTAATAATGTTGATTGTTATTATAATTGAGGCAAATTTCAA